AAAAAAAAAAAAAAAAAAAAAAAAAGACACCAATTTGCAGTAATGCAAGGACTGCCACGAGCTATCCTTGGAAACAATTGGACGATGGAATTGCAAGGGTAGGCTTGGAAAAGGTTATGCATTGCCTAAACACAAGAATGTGCAAAAATGGTGTCCCATTTGTCCCACTTCGTCGGAACCCACTCTGATAGCATGCAAGAAGGTTACTGCCTGTATGAACGAACTGATCAAAGCATTACCTACTACTCTGCACTTTAACTTGTTTAGCACTAAGGATTTGGTGCTCGCACTAGTCAGGATTAACAACAAATTGACCCCAGAACGCAGGCTGCTCAGTGCCAGCTTTGATGTTAAGGAAATGTTTACTAGGTTTCCTCATTCTTTCATTCTTGAAGCGGTAAGATGGCTCGTCTGCTATTATCAATTGCAAGGATTTGACGGGGTATGGGTCAAGCGCCAAGGCAAAGGTGCAAAGCTATCCTGCAGTAGGGCAGTATTAGGCTGGAAGTTGGTTACCTTCACTGACATTGAGAATTTTACAAGTTTCGATCTTAAACATACCTTTGTCATCGCCATGGGTAAGGTGCTTCGCCAGAATGTGAGGGTTCCGATGGGGAAGTCTTTCAGTTCTGCCCTTGCAGCTGCCTTGTGTATTTTCAACGAAGTGTTTTTTTTACACTCCTTAGGCAAGGATAGAGCTCTTCTTCATGGTGTTCGGCTAGTCGACGACGTGTCGGTGTTTGTCCAATTTAAGGTAAGCTCTGAGGATTCTAAGAAGAAGGCTTTAGGACTCCTCCGCTCATTTCGAAATTGCTACGACAAAAACTTGTCTCTCGAGGCTACCAGTAATGGGGAACGATGGGATTTCTTGGGATGTCAGTTGCAGGTATTTCCTCCACCAGTAGGGATTCGTTGTTTTCCTACACACCAGAACCAAGATTCCTTGCTAACAACTAGCACTGTGTTGTTCCAGGCCATCCAGGACTACTATTCTTACTCTAGTAAGCAACAGAAGACAGCAGTAATTAGCTCATTTTTACATTGGTCCAGATTGTTTTCCATGATGCCTGCTGCTGAAATTCTTTTCCTAATCACTCTTAAGAAGGAGCTCAGATTACGAAGTTATCCAAACCGATCCTTCGACATGGCACTTACTGGATTTTCTGGAAAATTCTCAGGATGTTGGGATGATTGGGTTAAGACCGTTAAGTGCTTGACAGGATGGGAATATTTCACACTTTAGTGCTCCTGCATTCAAGGGATAATTTTTGGAGGGGGTCTTAGATCGTACGAAGTAATGAACTTCTATGATGGGACACCAACCGGTCCTATCAACCAAGGTCCAAGGAAGTCGGAAAAATGGTCAGTTGTTGCAGACCGTGGGTCTGAGGTCTAAGGCTTCGGCTGGAATTGTCTCCAAAGAGGGGTTCGAATTAGGGGGGCAAGCGGTATACGGTACCGAGACGACGGTTTAGCCTGTTCAGTTCTCAGAATATATTGGAGCATGTCGATTGGTTTTCCCTCTTGAAGCAGCCGGTACGTACAGCGGGTATATCTCTAGCGGCAATCGAGAGTTTCGTCGTCCGACGGCTTCTGCGGTGCCCTTGCGTTCTGGCTGATGTCCCGCTTTCTCCCGAGTCCTTTCCGATGTCCGTTTCTCTACGGGCTAGCGTGCCACCGCACATGACTCTGATCCCGCGCGAAAGGCACAAACGAAAGAGATAAGTGACTGGGCGTTGGATTTCTCGTCATCTCTTGTTTTCTCTCTCTCTCTCTCTCTCTCTCTCTCTCTCTCTCTCTCTCTCTCTCTCNTCTCTCTCTCTCTCTCTCTCTCTCTCTCTCTCTCTCTCTCTCTCTCGCGCGCGCGCGCGCGCGATCCTCTCCTCTCCTCTCCTCTTTCGTCCTCTCTTCCCTCTCTCTCTCTTCCTCTCCTCCTCTCTCTCTCCCTCCCTCTCTCCCCTCTTCACCCTTTCTTCCTTACTATTAGATAGTTATATATTTTCACAAACTTTCTCTGGTTGTCTGTTATCTCGAAGGAACTGTTCGAATAGGCCTGGTTTGTTGATAATAGTACAAAAACTTGGTTTAGATATCGGTGGGTGAAGGCTTTGTTCTTGGGCGATGTCCTATTTATTCACGTATTGGAATACTGATCTCACACTTGGTGCCATGCGATTGCCCCTGAGGATGACTGGTAATCGGCGCCAGTCGAAACATGTCGGGCGCAACCGATATTTGCTTCTCCTTGGGTTGATTGGATGTCTACTGGCGCTACTGTGCCTTTTATACTCCATCTTCCTGAAGAGATGGTGATACTGTGCTTCATGTGTTATCATTCTGCTTAATCGCTTGGGCTTCAAGGAGATCGCTGCTTCGTGTGCTGGTCTTCCGCTTCGATCTATCTATTTCGTCTTCATAGATCCCCTCTCTCCCCCCCCCTCTCCCCATCTCTCTTCCCATCTCTCTTCTCACCTCTCCTTCTCTCTATCTATCGCCCTCGTTTCTTCCTTCTTCTCGTTTCTTCTTTCCCCTTGATACACGCTGCCTCCTTTGCGATGTTGTTTTTTTATGTTGTACAATTGATGTGTTGTTTCGAAGTCTAGCCAGGATGGATTGGTTGAATCTGTTCATGAAAGTTCTTGACCTCTTGATTTTTTATTTGAGGGTATTTCGGATTTTTGCTGAAATTTCATATGGAACTTTCCGGTATATGGTGGCTAGGTGTAGGCGTGAGGATGCAAATAGGCGGGGACGATTCCATCGTCGTCATGTCGTGTACTAATTATGCGTTTTTTTCAGTTTTGTTTCTTGCCTGTTTCAGTCTTTTCTAGCTCTCCATTCAAATTTTGTGGGCAGACCGGCATACCTGTATGCTTCAGCTCACCTGCGGTTCGAGCAATAACCTTAATAGAAGTTGTACTACTAACGCCTGGTTGCTTGTTTCGTCGCTACCCCACTATCTCTCTTGTCCGTCTTTCTTTTCTTTTCCTTTCTTTTCTTTTTATTTCTTCCCTATTTTTCTCCTTTTCTTTTTTTTTTCCTTTTTTTTCTAATTTTCTCCCTTTTTTCCTTTCTCTTATGCTCTTTCGCTCTTTTGCTCTTATCGATTTTTTATCTTTCATCTTTTCCACAAGATCCATCCGATATATTCGGCAAACTAGGATTTCTCGATTGTCCAACATTTCCTACATTATCTTCGACCGAACCTGGACTATCTAACTGGTTAGGATCATTGCTGTATTTTCTTTTCTCGCCTTCGATTCACGGATTCTACCTGTTGAGTTCGTATGTTTTCACTCACTGATTGTAGTCCTTGATGATTTTCGTCGATTCTTCTCCTATTGTTTGTCGGCATACAGGGTATTTGTTCACTCAGCGTGACTAAATCTAGCGTTTATCGGAGTTGGACTGATTTTTCGTTCCTAATAGGTTTGGAATAGCACTTTCTTGTGTAACCTGTGCAGGATTCGATTAACCTGGTGGTTTGCTCGCTGTTCGTTCAATACTCAACCTGATGGCGGGCCCCTTGCTTTGTTATAACTGCGATATGCCGGGGCATTTTGCGCGGGAATTCCCTTATCCCCGTCGTACTTGTTTTTCTCAGCAGTCTAACAATGTCTCATCCTTTCCTTCCTTGTCTGGCATTGCCCCTCCAATGGCTGCGGCTAATGACTCCTTTCCTACCCAAGCCCCCCTTCTCGCCCTTCCCGCTCTCCCAAACCCTTCGCATTCTTCGAATTCCGCGCCAAGTAAAGCTTTGGTTCCACGTCACCCCTGGTGGAAGCTCAATCAGGAGAAGCTGGATCGAGTTTATGAGTTTATGGCCTCAGAACTCGAGGCCAGGCAAGAAGCAATCCACGAAAGGGAGAGGCTTCTGAGGGAGGATGAGGAGAGACGGAAGATCGAGGAAGCGGAGGAGAAAGCGCTCCGGAAATTGAAAGAACTCCAGGACTTTGAAGACAGGATCAGCATGATCGTTGGGACGAAAATCAATGAGGCTTGCGACCTTTTTCTTGGCAAAGCAGATATGGGCAAGGCAACGGGAGCAGTGGACAATAGTCGGATCCCCAATGACAGGTTTCGCATCCGCCCCAATATAGACTTGGAGAAAGAGAGAGTAGAAAAGCAAGTCGAGTTGTTGCGGCAGGAGCATGAGTTCATCAAGAAGCAGATGGAGGAGCTAACTCGTTCAATCAGACAAGCAGGTGTGAAGAGGACCAGTGCTAGAGTGTGTATTACTCGCCCCCTTGACGCACCGGCAAGAGGCAAGGCGCGAGTCATGGGTGTGGGCACGCCTCCTTCACACGATTTTGAGAAGCTGCTGAAGGCCTATAATTTTGTGAAGGAGGTTAAACGCATTGCCGACTTAGAGGTGCAGGCTATTAAGGACAAATTCGATAGGGTTGTCGCTAAGCTGGTAAGATAAGGGCGTACGCCGAGATCCAATCTCTCCAAGAGGATGAATGAAGCCACGAACGATGACGATCTCGAAAACCAAGGGCAGCCTGAAGAAGGGCTGGACGATCTGACGTTGCGGCCATCACCTCCAAAGAGGACCTCAGGGCGGTTAGCCATAAAGGCGGCAGTGGCGGAAAGAGCCGAATTTGTCAAGGAAACGAAGAAATACCTAAAAAGACTGAAGAAGCATGGACTGCAGATCCTCTGCGGGAAGGAGGGCATCAACTTTGTTACATGCGAGCAGGCGATCAACGAAATCGCCGAGCTGCGAGCGTCCTTGGCCTTCGATTTTCGGCAGCCTGTCAGATCGTAGAAAACCTCGCACTTTCAGCAAGACTCCGCCGTTGAGGAGATTCGAGGAGATGGCCATGGAGGGCAGGAGGTGGATGCTACCTAACAAGTGGATGTCGAGGAGGAGCAGCTTGGTGAGGAATAGAGTCTTTGCCCAAGCGACCGCGTGGTATGGGAACTTGTGAGGCTGTGTTTACCCCTGCGGTCAAATAGGGAGGGTTTGACTGATGATGAACTTGGCTACGTTTACCGTATGCTAGTTATGATTCTGATGCTTAGACGAGAATTACCTTGGTGCGTTAAGTTCTTCGGGTTCCTATTGCAGCTACTCGAGTCTCATTATGATTTTAGAGTCTCTCATGGGCCTATGGTGTACTGCACTGTCTCTCCCTTCGTTAGACATTGTTATGTGGGATGCACTACCAGATCACTGAATATACGTTGGTTTGAACATGTTAGCCATATGATGACTCTCGATAAGCGGACCAGTGATGTTCGAAACCACAGATTATACACTTGGTTGCGGAGGATAGGTTGTCAACATTATGTGGCACTTCCGTTGGCGGTTTGTTCAGAGTCAGATTTGTTGTTGGCAGAACGAAAATCCATTGGCCTCGTTTCCCCTTACCTAAATAGCAGACCCTCCGCTAGAAAGAAAAGGAAAAACAGGAAGTGTAGACCAGGTAAACGAGAGAGAAGAAACAGGGCAAAACGTATGCTTTCCCTCGATCGATTTGCCGGGGACGTTTCTTCGACCACTCCCTCCACCTCGTATGCGATGGGAAACAACTTGAAGGGGATTGCATTGTTTATCACGTCTATTGGGGTCTCCTCTATCTCGCTCTTCAAGTTGGTGATTCTCTATGAATGTCTCCGGTTAGGAGTGTCTTCATTTTCGGCAGTTAACAAGGGTGGTGTTATCCCCTCGGATTCTTGGAAGGTCATTAAAAGAGTGTTTGGTGCTTCAGTTGTATGTTCCAGGTATGGGAAGGACCAACTCAAACGATGCAAGTCTTGGTTGGATAGTGGGACTATGTTGCATTTCAGCAGTATTGTCAGATTTTGCTCACGGTCTGAATCACTCAAGCCGCCAATAGCTAGGCTACTCAGTCACCCCGCTGACAGGAAGCTGTTGTGTACTTGGACTTTGGAAAATCTGATTTTTGCGTACAATGTTGTGAGGTGTTTTCCCAATAAACAATCTAGACAGACTTTGAGATTAATTATTTTTGGCGTAAGTCGGCGGAGGTTCGTTTTTTGCCTACGCAGGCGTCTTGTGTTCCGGATTAAGTATTCCGATGATGTGTCGAAAACCAAGGTCCGTACTCTGTGCTCTCGTGTCATAAAGGAAGCATCTC